AACCTCCTGAGGCAGCGGGCCGGAGCACCACAATATTGAAGTTGTGAGACACCCTAAGCTGGGACGCACAACAGATACCGGACAACAAAACGTATCACACTCTCCGAACCAACCATTCCACCTAGGTGGTCCCGCTTCATACGTAGATATATGCATGATCCACATCTCGTGAGAAGCCTAGGCCTAGAGGATGGCGCAGCTAGCAATAATAGTAATTTACCTGTCGGAACCCCCCGAGACCCGATAGCCATTTGTGTGTCGTATGTGTCCTCCCACCTCTCACGGTGTTATGTTACGATACATGACAGACAAGGTTGGCGAATAAATAGCCAAGACAGGCAGAAATTACCCCCTGAACTGATTGCGCACATGGCCAGACGTTTGGTTTTCCTCAACCACCGCGCAGCATGCCACCCCGGTGGCTCGGCCTCGACCGCCCCTCCCTGCCGTCGTCGGACGAATCCTCGTCGATACCTCCGTTGCAAGTGGCGGTGGGCGGAGAGAAAGCCTACGCAGCGGCGCCGCCGCTGTAAGGCCCGTTGCCTTGCCCAACGGGAGGGGTGGTCGCTCGTGGAAACAGCCACGGTGTGGCGACATGTGCGGTGGTAATTTTTGATGTCGTCGCCGTCGTCGTCGTTGTTGTAGTCGTTGTTGCCCGCAGAGAGAGAAGGCCGTTTCTGTTGTTGACAAACGCCTGCGGCGGTAGCGAGATGGGATGGGATGGGGTTGTATCGGATATCGGGGGAAGCGTTTGCGAAAGTCTATTGGGGGACCGGCGCGCCTCAGCAACTTCCGGATAGACTCAAAGAGAAGCATTCTAGAGCCAGTGCCCTCAGCAACTTCCCGATAAGGCTAGACAGAAGCAACATTGAATCAGTGCCCTCAGCAGCTTCCCGGAAAGACTAGGCAGAAGCAGTGAGAGCCGAGCAGTCGATGAATTGGAGCGGGGAGCCAAAAACTTCTTTTGGCAATTTTTGGCTTACGCTTGGCCTGTGTGAGACTAAATATTGGCCTGTTAAGAGTTCATATTTCTTGCTCTTTCTGTTCGTACATGTAGTTTGGGTGCGGCGCGAGGTAAAGCGAGAGCCACACCGACGAAGTCGGTGTTAGTCCCATGCGCTCGGATGAACCACGGTTTCTGATGAACTACAGCATGTTTGTGTGTTTCTAAAGCAGAACAAAGGGTGAACGTGCGCTGTTCGATGTATTGATTGGAGCGAAAGGGATCGAGTTGTGAGTAGAGCAAAGCCTCGGACACCATCGGTGGGTGAGGTCATTCGCCAGTCTACAGCAGTTCACTCTCGAGATCTTACCGGGGCATGGGATGGTTGTGGTTGTGTATCATAACGACCCGTCTCACCGCATACAGCAGTTTCATTTGACGGGGTCAGTCGGCCATTTACGGAGCAATGCATAAACCCTCAAACAAAAAGCGTTTCCTTGTGCGAGGCTAGATGGTCTCGACGCTTGTTTTATCCGAAGGGTACCCAGAAGTGACCGCACGGCCTCTATTCCCTGTGTTGCTGTAGAGAGGGGGACCCCAACGGATCATCACATTGCGAGGTCACGCATACGGCGGTACCTACAAGGGGTCGCCCCGGTGGTCTAGTGGTATCCTCGCAATCCGCTAGTTGCAGAGGTTGTGAGTTCGAACCCCCATGGGGTGAAAAAATTACGAAATGTGCAGGTGAAAGCGAAATATAGCTGACAAGCTCTCGTGAGTACCAAACTTCGACGTTAGCACCGTTGACGAGGGAAAAGGATGGCTGGACCCTTCTCGCGATAAAAATAAAATTCAGCACGCACCCGCAGGAGGAAGGTGGGGCACGAAAAGAAATACAAAGAAGAAAAAAGCCCTGGTGTTTACCCCCTCCTGTGTGACCCTGGATGGTTGTAGTTGTACGAAAAATACACTGGAAAGTGTGGTACTCTACATACGCTGAAAAGTGCAGTACACGTCTCAACCACGAAAAATGGGGGGATTGTCGCCATAATAAATAGGACGAAAACAAACACACACACACAAGTAGTTGGAAATTGGAAACATTTCCATACAAACGTTGAATGTGTGAACAGGGTCAATCTAAAAAACGTTAGCGTGAACCGGACCTGCAGCAGTGAAACCTATCATTTCTTAGTTCGGTCTGCTGCTGTTATTATGGCATTGGGCCGTGGCCGGGAGAGGCTGGCGGCGGCGGTAGCGATGTTCAAAGTTGCAGTTGCTGTTGAACCAAACGGCGCCCAGCGGCGAGCACTAAGGGCGTCATGGTCCCGCGTCTTGGCCGGCGAGGCAGTGGCGGGCAGAGCCACCGGGGGGGCATGCACGGGTGTGTATATGTACGTCACAGGGGCAACCGGAAAAAGGTTGGTTGTGCGGGGGGAGGCGCCTGCGGCGGCGTGCGTACCCATGCCGACGCTTGTGTACGTATGCACACGTCACGCGTTTGTTTTTGTTCCTTGACGGCAGAAGCAGTACAACAGCACTCAGTGTACGAACTTACCCGCTAGTGATGGTGGGCTGACAGCCACGAGCTTTTGCGCGGGAGGAAGCGTCAGCGACCACCGTTGTCGAGAGAGACAGGAAGGATACTACGAAAACCGCGATCATTGCAGCAGTCGTGACGGTGACTTTGCTGCAGCACTGCTGTCGTCGACGGAGGCATATCGGCTTCCATCTTCTCCTCCGTCCGCCGTTGGGAACCACTGACGACTTCATTGAGAACAGGTGCCGGTGTGTTGTCTGCAGCGGCGCCTAGCGAGAAGGACAGGAAACCCGAGTTCCCGCGGGGAAGTGTTCCAAAGTCAACTGCTGTTGGTGTTCTCGCTCGATAGCGCGCAGGTTTCCTCTTTGGAATGGAGTTCCATTATCTTTCGAGCGATGACTGTACTACTATTGCGGAGCCCCCCGTAAATTATCGCGACTGCCGACCCCCCCTAAATTATCGCAATTGCCGACCCCCCCCTAAATTATCGCAATTGCCGACCCCCCCAAAAGGACCTTATCTGGGTGCTGTCATATGCATACCTTACTTCCACTCTGCACGGCTGTTTTAGCTCTGCCTGTTGACACCCGACGGCTGCTGCCTTTCTTTGTCTGCCCAGTTCCTGCCCCTCCAACGAAACCGGCAAGAGAGGTACGCACTCTCACACACGAGTTGTGATACGCAAATATCGACCAAGCGGGGCGTTGGATATTTATGACGTTCTCAGCTCAACTTGCGCAGCTGAAAGAAATCCGATGCCAAATCACCATTTGACATCCACCCCCACGGCTACTTGCGAGGTCGGTAGAAAAGCTGACAACCTGTTCCGTGGGTGTGGAAGAGCTGAACAAGGGCATCTGGGAGGGAATGGTAGTGTTTCGTGTGCCCATACACACTCCTTCTATCTCTCGAAAGAAAATGTCCCGGCCCGGGTGGCTCTGCCACCTACGGAGGATCTTGGGGCATGGGGCTCCTGTACCTACTTCAGTAGCTGCTGTGTTGCAGGTGCTTACCTAGGGACTACTGTTGTGCTTCAACAAGCAAGTGCTTTAGTTCACCGCATGTTTCTCACTTATCCAACATGTAGCGTTCCTTGGAACATCCGTCAATGACAGCTTCAATCGTATCTTGGTATCTTCATGGACGGTGTCCAGAAGACGTCATCATGCGAGCTGAGATTGCCCCGCAAGCCTCTGCCTTTGGGGCCCCCACGCGGTCTTAAAAGTCTTTCATCGTATCCTCGAGACCGTGGATAGATAGGTAAACAAGGCCGTGGAGCTCGGCGTGACACTTTCGCCCGTGCACGAAGAGCTTGATTTTTCTTGTGTGCAGCCGCAATGACAGAACACAGCAGTAGTGTGTACGAAGATAATCCCAGACCAGCAGTGGAGTAGCGGAGTACAGCAGTTTAGTGGTCAGCTGCGTAAGCCGGGTCAGACCCACTCTGCACCCAGTGTGGCCTTGCCCACGGCTCTGGCTGAACGGGAGTCTGACTAGCTAACATCGCCCGCCTCACCGCCCGTGCGAGCCTCGGACCTCGGGTCATCCATTAACGTGGCCAGGCGCAGCGTTAGACTCGGCTCGAGAAGGTTGGGTTCTCCGATGACTTTCAACCAAAAGCTCGATTTTGTTAACGTATGAATACGACGAGGGAAAGGGATGGGTGAGAACCCTTCTCGCGACAGAAACCGAGGCAAGCACCGCAGGCAGAATGGTGGGGCAATCAACCAAACCCAAAAATATGAAAAAAGCTCCTGTGTGCCCTTCTCTAGTCTGACTCCGGCTGATACGTCAGGTATATGCGCCGAGAGGCATGACACCGGTGTAGTCTAAGGATAGGTGGGACAAACACACACATGGAAAACAGACCCCTTCGGGACATTGGATTCGGGCCTGCCGACGGTGACGCAAGAGGATACATTTCCAACTTTTTTTCCAAGGGTTGGTGTCTGTGTGTGTTGTGTGTTGTCGTCCCATTTTTATTTAGTAGCGATAGACAGACCCCCCACTTTTCGTGGTGACGCCACGTGTACTTCACTTTTCAGTGCATGTAGCGTACTACACTTTTCAGTATATTGTTTCTTATCACTACGCACACACCATCCAGGGTCACACAGGAGGGGGTAAACAAACACAGGGGCATTTTCCTTCTTTTTATGTTCGTGCCCCACCTTCCTCTCGCGGTGCGTGCTGAATTATTTTTTTTTCATCGCGACAAGGGTCCAGAGTCCCTTTCCCTCGTCAACGATGCTAAAGTCCAAGTTTTTTGTGCTCACGAGAGCTTTCGAGTTTTTTTTTTGCGCTTTCGCCCGTAATTTTTGAAAAATTTCATCCCATGGGGTTTCGAACTTACGACTTTGCCACTACTAGCGTACACCACATAATGTTCGGTTACAGTAACGTGCAAGACAGTTGTCCGCGTCTCAGGATGTCCGTCGCCTGATTGCCAACCGCCGCGCCCCCTTGCCCTGCGTGCTTTTGCTCCCTCAAGAGACACACCTCGCCGCCTCCTCGCAAGTCAGAGCCCAACGCTCAACAGCAGCGAGGTCTGGATAGGGAAGCCACAACGCCTCTCTCAGGGACGAAGCCCCTTCGTACTTTGACGGCAAACACGACCGCTACGCTGGCTACAACTGCTGTGTTTGACAATATAAAAACCAGCTGCACCGTGGATTAGGCGGGAGAGGAATGGCGGCGGGACATCGGCACGTCACGCCTATGCATCTGTTTCCTTAGCCTTGACTCTTCCCCCCTGGCGCGGCTTAGCTTGGAGAGGTCACTGCTGGTCGTCTTTGGTTGATCTTTGTTGGCGCGACCGCTGGCGTCGTCTGGGACGGTTCATTCGCTGGGACTTGTGCGCTCACGGGTGCCTGTGGCGGTGTGGCACGAGGGAGAGAGGAGGCATCGAACCACCACCATCGTCTCAGTCGACTGTCACCGCCTGTGAAGCAGCCCTGCCACAAGAAGAGCCGTCGTGACGGAGCCGGCTTCGTTGAAAAGGTTGAGCCGTGTGGCTACAGCTGTGGTCAGGAACCTAGCGCTTCGACGCCGCGCGAGCTACCGTCAATCCTCTTCCAAGAAGAGCGGATGCTCCACCCATCCATCCATCCAAGCCACCAGAGCGTTGTAGCATAGCAGTACAGTGGGCGTCCCCGAATAAGGCGGCCTGAATAAAGCGGTCGCCCTAAAATAAGGCGAGTGAAACTGGCTGGCATTGACGGAGAAATCAAATTGTTCTACAAACTTGAATACGACCGCTGCCCCATATAGGGCGGTCATTTTCAGCTGCCCCACCCCCGCCATATTCGGGGACCCCAACTGTAACGAATAATCATGCCGGGCATCCTGGCCGGCGACATCCTGGCCATCGTGTGGTGCTCGGGCTACGCGGGCCCCGCCGCCGCCACTCCCCTCGAGACGGTGTGCCTGGCCGTGTGCAACGCGTGCCGAGAGCAGACCCCGTGGACCCTGCGCGCCGCGCCGGGCATGCCGCCCTCGCTGCTGTCCTGGCACCTCCGCGGCGGGGACCGCTTGCTGCTCCAGCGATTCGACCAGCGGGGCCGGGGTGACGGCGACGGCGGCTGTGGAGACGGGGATCACGACCGCGGCTGGGTCGGTCACGCCGCCAAGCCGGCCGTCACGACGGCGGCGAACCCCCCGCCGCCGCCGCTATCGGTTGCGACGCGGGGGGGCGGGGGGCGGGGGGCCGCCGCCACAAACACCGTCGACGGCAAGGCCGGCGTCGTTGCTGTGCGGACGGGGGTGGAAGAAGACGGAGGCGGGCTGGGCACACCGCCGCAAGGGGGTGGGGGGACGGCGGCGGCGACGGCGACGGCGGCGGCGGGGGCCTCCAGACTGTCCCCCCGTGCCAACATCCAACGCGTGGTGGTCGACCTGAGCCTGAGCCTGGACGGCGTTGTGTGGCCGGCGCGACTCACAGCGCTGGAGATGGGCGAGGAAGAGGTTGTTATTGCTGCAACCCGGAGCAGCAGCCCACCCGATGACGATTCGGTCGCACACCCCGGTAACCTCGAGAATAAGCCCTCGCGCCGCGGTCACTGCAGCGGCGGCAGCGGCGGCGGCGGTAGCGGCGGCGGCTGCTGCTCGCTCCGACCCTCGCAGCAGAAAAAGAAGCCCGGCGGGTCCGACAAGTCTGCGGCGATGACGGCCTCGGAGCCGGCAGCCATCGCCGCCGCCACCGCTGCCGCGACGGCAAGGTTCTGGGCGGGAAAGCCACCGGGCTCTTGCTTCGACACCCCGCTCCGCGAGGTCTCCCTACCCCCTACCCTGCTGCACCTGGAGCTGCTGGGGCCCTTCAACGATTCCCTTGAGGGGGTCGCCTGGCCTCCTTCTTTGGAAACCCTGGTGCTGGGAGACCTCTTCAACGGTAGCCTGGGCGACGGTGTTGTGCTTCCCCGCGGTCTCAAGTCGTTGACCCTCGGGAGCGCTTTCGACATGAGCCTGGACGCGGTGGCGTGGCCGCCGGGTTTGGTTCATCTGCAGCTGGGGCACTCGTTCAACCAGGTTTGTTTGTCGCAACGCTCTCCTTTTCCTTGTCTGCCGTGTCTTTCTTGTCTGTCTGTCTGTTTGTTTGTCCGTCCGTCTGTTTGTCGTTCTGTCTCGGTCATTGCCTGCCTGCCTGTCTGTCTCTTACCCTCCCCCCTTGAATGCCTCCATGATAAAAAGGGGTGATGACTCCCAACTCGAGGATGATAGCAGGGGACAAGGCTTTAGCAGCCCCCCCCCCCCCCCCCCCCCCCCCCCCCCCCCCCCCCCCCCCCCCTTGAGGAATGAATCTCGCCCCCGATGCGACCACGCGTCTGCCTAAGTGACTGAGGCAACACCGCTGTTGAATCTCCGTGTCCTGATGTCGAAAATGTTTCCGCTAAGGACGTTCGTTCAACCAGCTTTGTCTGAACGCTCTCCACCTTGTCTCTCCACACCGCCCGCCTCATTGCCTCCTTGGCCCCCGTCCCCCGATATATCGAAACTCTTTCCTCGCTCAGGACATCGGCGAGGTCCGTTGGCCTTCCACCATCAGCGAGATCTGCTTCGGCGACCTGTTCCGCAGGCCTATCACCGGGGTAGTCTGGCCGGAAGGCCTCAAGCACCTAACGTTCGGACACCTCTTCCGGCAGGTATTTTGCGTCCAAATTTCCAAATTTCCAAATCCGTAGACAATATAGATCTAGTTTTGCGGCCGAGGAAAAATCTTGCAAATTTGAAAGTGTGGTACCGACGGGCACCGCATCCAATTGCTTTGGAAATCTGAAGAAATAGCTGCTGTACAAAATGACCCTCAGAGAAGTCATTTGCACCGCGTGCTTCCTCGCCCTGTTTTTTTATTCCGTTTTTCATTTTATTCCAGCCTCTCGCAGGCGTCACCTTCCCGACTGGGCTGGAAGACCTCAAGTTCGGTGGGTACTACAACTGCAGCCTCGATAGCGCGGAGCTCCCGGAAGGGCTGAGATCGCTCGACCTGGGTAGGTCTTTCAATCAGCCGATTGAGAGGACCCGGTGGCCGGAGGGGCTCCGTAGCATCATTTTCGGGGACTCGTTCAACCAGCCGGTGGAGGCGGTTCGCTGGCCGGGCTCGCTGAGGGTGCGTGGAAGTGCCGCTTTCTTTTACTTTATTTGTCTGAGCACAACGAGCGCGTCTTTGTCCATATAGACAGGAGTCAAGGATATATTAGAAAAGTGAATCCATGGTTTTAGCGGAGGCACTACCTGTATTTCTACGATTCCCTGAGCAGCACATAGCTGTATCTCTCCTGCGGGTAGCGGGCTTTACAAGTCAAATTGGTGACCATCTTATGCATCGGACTATTATTGTTGTTTCGTTGTTGTCCTCACATAAATACCATTCCGATCGCTCTACCCAAAACCTTCTTCCGTCCTAACTAGTCTAATGACGCGGTCGATTCCCCGTGGTCACAGGCTTAACTTACCCAGAAAAAGGTATTCTAAAATGAAAATGGACGCCCGGACGGACCATGCATGTACGTGATCGTTTTCATGTTTTGTCGTTTGTCGTCTTGTCGTGAACGGTGCAACGCCACACGGGAACAAATAGTAAGAGTTTCGACGGAAGCGAAAACGTCTCGGCAGGCGCAGATAAGGTGCATGTAGGTTGATTCACGTCGCAAGCGCACGCTCGATATCTCCTGCAACCTACGGTATATCGCAAACCCCTACACCAACCGCGGCAGGTGCTACAGTTTGGTTCGAGTTTCAATCAAGAGATCGAGAAATCAAGGTGGCCGGCCTGCCTCGAGCACCTCACGTTCCGCCAGCGCTTCGACCGCAAGGTGGAGCTAGTGAAGTGGCCTCCAAACCTGCGGGTCCTCGAGTTCGGCACCTGCTTCGACAAGCCGATCGAGGGGGTCAAGTGGCCGCCCAGGCTGGAGAGGTGACGTCACTGACAGCTATTGTTGTTGTTGTTGTTGTTGTTGTTGTTGTTGTTGTTGTTGTTTCTGTTGTTATTGTTTGTTGAATTCCGCACACAATCTCACGAAAAGACAAGCACCAAATCGCACACCAAAAAAAATATTCGAACAACCTTGCGTGCCCATGCTCTTGGCGAAGGCTCGTGCTGGGACACTACTTCAGTCAACCAGTGCAGCTGCTCAAGCTTCCTCCTTCGCTGCAGCGGTTGGCGTTCAGCAGCGTCTTCGACAAGCCCGATAGGCTAGAGAACGTGGACCTGGTCGGGGCTAACCATCGGCGCCTGGTTGTCGTTGGCAGGCCAGGCGGTCCGAAGGCGAGGGGGTGAGATGTCGATGGTGTTGGTGTTGGTGTTGGTGTTGGTGTTGGTGTTGTTGTCTTTACAATTAACATAAACGCTCGCGTCTCCGCTCAGGACCTTCTAATGTCCGTACTGGCCCCACTGACGCGGACGCCTTCCGTCGTCGCAGGCCAACTGCCCAGTAATGGGGTCATTGCCACGTTCAAAAATCTAGAAATCAAAGAACAGAAAAAAAAAAATGGATCCTGAAAAATCCTCTCAACTCGTGCTGTTCTTATTTTCTTGGGTCCCCCGCTTGTGCTGCGAGAGGAGACGTGGCATGGGGGGGGCCACAGCGTCGAAGACTGTGCGAGGGAGGCGGCCGCGGGCCGCCCGGGCGGAAGCCGCCGGGGCGGCGGCGGCGGCGGTAGTGGCAAAGGCCGGCATCGCTGCGGCAAGAGCGTCTGCAGCAGCATCGGCGGCATCGGCGGCGGCGGCGGCGGCCGGTGGAAGGAGATGACTAGGGGACGGTAGTGAACGGCAGACCCCCCCCCCCCCCCCCCCCCCCCCCCCCCCCCCCCCCCCCCCCCCCCCCCCCCCCCCCCCCCCCCCCCCCCCCCCCCCCCCCCCCCCCCCCCCCCCNCTGCTGCACTTGTCTTTTAATTTTTGATCCTCGGTGGCGGCGGCGCTGCATGAGTAAGCCCTGTGACGTTACTTCCCGATCGGAAGTCTGCAGAGTTGTTCCGCAACCGCAAGGACATCGGCGGCACATCATACCAGTACGCCACAGTTCCTCCCGCACAGCCGTGTCACCCCCCCACCCCGAGTCCAACGTCTTCCGCGGCTGTCGGGGGAGGGGGGAGCAAGGTGTTTGGCTACCGCGAGGTGATGGTATCGTCGTTGGTAGTGTTGCGACCACCGCTGCCGCTTGCTCGCGGTAGGGTTGAGCAAGGAGAAGGCCGCGGCGGCGGCGGCGGCATCTTGTGGAATTCGCACCCCAAGAGGGCGGGGTGGTGGGCGTAGGGGTCAGCTAGAGCCGTTTCAGGTCTTCCCCTAAATGGAACGCATAGTCCTTCTGATAGGTTGGAAGGAGGCAGAGTGAGAGGTGAACGAATGAGCAAGGGCGTGCCCCCCCACAATGGTGGAGGTTTGCCACTGCTGCTCTCTCTCAACTTTGAGGGGGAAGGTTGGTTTGCAGCAGTCCTGCTAGTGCTCTGCAAAACTCAGTGGAAGCCGGGGGGGTGACGACGACGAACGGGAGGCTTTGCTCCATGCAGAGTGACCGTTCGTCCACTTGGACGGAACAGCAGTAAAGCAAGAGACGACGGCACCAAGATAGGGGTGCCGGTGCAAACACAGTGAGTGGTGATGGTCACCACGAACAATGAGAGGCGTTTATTGCTCCCGGGGGTGGGGGGGCGGGGGGCGGGTGTACACCTAGCCGTGCATGCCGTAGTCGTTAGACCATTGACCTCGCATCCCTACAAAGCCGGGACGGAGCACGCCGAGTTCTCACCGGACCAGGCTCTCACATCACCATCACCATCACCACCACCATCACCATCACCATCACCATCACCATCACCATCACCATCACCAAGCGCGAAGCGGTAGTGGTGAGGGGGGGTCTTGACTGGTTTCTCGATGGTCGTTCAACGGCCGGTGGTGGTATATATGTATATATATTTATATATATATATTTTTCTCCCATCATTGGATTCTGTCGTCTACCCCTATGGCCCCTATCCTCCACTTCTACTAGCTAGACGACCAACCCGGGGTCAAACAGGAGGGGGGGCGGGGTTGGACCCCCTCCTGCTGTGTAGTGGCGTCATGGTTGGAGTTGTCCTGGTGTGGTGATGGTTGCCCTGACGTGGCATTGTGTTTGGTTTGGGCAGCAGCACCACCGGAACAAGAAAACGACCCGCGTGTGCGTTGCTGTTGCTGTGTTGTGGTTGTCGGCCTGCCATGATTGGCTGCTGCCGCTGTTGTTTCCGCCGCATTTCTTGAGGGAGGATTGCGCGAGCGAAACAACATACAGAGTCGCGTCTTGACAGGCGGTCACGAGAAGGTGCGAAAGTCGTGCGGAAGAAAGGGTGCAGTAGTAAGAAAAGGTACAGTCAGTAGAGGGCGCTGGAGTTTCGTGCTTGTGGCAGCGGGCATGCGCTGTCGCACGCCTCGTGTCGGCTGCAGTCGTAGAGATATCACAGCATAGCCCCTTGTATGTAACGCCGGATAGGACCAAGTTATTTGTCCTCCCTTATACCGTGCACCCGGCAGGAGCTAGATATGTTCTGAGCTTTGAGAAAAGGTGGATGTTCAATCCACCTGTCTCGCGAGTGAGCCTTGTTCGTTCGACCTTAGACAGGGACGTTTATTGTGTGGGAACCACTGCAAGTGCAGTGGGAAAAGCGGCGTGATACTGTAGACACGTGGGTGATTTGTACATACCAGGAAACACTACTCTAAGGGTGAATTCTAATAGCAGGAGCGAGAGCCCCGTCCATTGCTCATTTTTGTGTGAGTGTGTTACGCGATTTGGACGATATGTACCGTCGTGTGCTGTTGTCTCCGTTGCCAGGTTACATTTTTTTTCTTTTCAGCGGATGAACCCTTTGGTTTTTTGTGATTAGTGTGGCTTTGAATACAGGAGCGGGTGTGTGCTTCGATTGTTCTGTCGGGGGGCGCTTCTTCTTGAGGAAGAGGAAGGCCGGGTTTCCTATAGTTGCGTGTTGCGTGTGTTCTTCATTGACAGTGTTGTGCCTTTCTGAAATATTGACGGATGGTTTTGATTGTACTGTTTTGCTTGGTCTTCGTGTGTGTTTTGGATACGGTTCGCGCATGTAAATGTCACGACCTGGGTGCTGAGTTTATTTCTTTTTTTCTCCTCGTGTTGTCGACATGGATGGCGTGTTTTTATTCACAATCATCATCGTCATGGTTCGGAGTGTTGTGGTTGGGCTGTTAGCCTAGCCTGACTGCTGTGGTCACACCGTCACGTACGACGTAAGTTGACCTCCATCTCTTTTAGTCTAGTCGTATATTATTGTGATCTTCCCATCTCGTGATGTGCATGCATGCATGCTGACTGACATCAACAGCGATGAGTACCTGTACATAATCTGCAGAATCGGAACAGCTATAGTCTAGTCTAGTGTTCACACCGCGACTCTCTAAATCGAAAAATTCACCACTCCTGTGGGTACGAAATGTGGTTGGTTGCGGGCGGCAGCAACGACCGTGCTGATACAATCGCTTGGCGGTGACGGTGGTGATGGTAAGGGGCTCTTGGAATCGAAGTGCGGGCGATACGGGGGTTGGCGCGTTGTGGCTCGCAGGGCAACAGAGAGGGGCGTACAAACCAGCCGTGGGTGCTTGTAGAAGTTAGGCGGGGTCCGTTCTTCATTGACCAGGGACTTGAGAGGTTGATATCAGGACAGGCTGTTTACGAAAGGTACGTCAAAATCCAGGGGGAAACTGTCGAGTTGGAGGGGAAGAAGGGGGTTTGCTGTTGCATGTAGAGTGCACGTTTGGAGCACATGCATGCCCCAAACAATTTCGTACGTCAAGTGGGTGAACGGGGGTCTGTTGGATGTGATTCCACACGGCACGAACGCCTCCCTACACAATAATTTGTTTTTTGTGTACGGCCTTGGTGGGGGCGGTGAATTTTGCGGTCTGACAAAACGTCGTGTAGACTGGAGAAAGGGTTGCCCAACGTCATACCGAGGGGGTCACATGCTTGTCGTTTCGAATCCAAAGCCACATCTCGCCGCTACAAGTGAATTTAAGTGACAATAACATTCAGTCTTCGGGTTGTTTGTTTCCCTGACGACATCACGCCAAACGGTGATGACGCCAAAACAGGGATCCTTTTGGGGATACAACCATCCGCTCAGACTGAATGAAACGGATTGTGATAGCAACTCGACGAGTACTACCGTAGCGTTCGTTACCTGTCTGAATTCAAGCTTTTTAGCTGTCAGCATCGTCAGCTTCAGAAATCAATCGTCATTGATCGCCTCCAAGCAAGCGCGCGAAATTCGGTGGAAAGCCCATACTGGAAAAATTCCACTTTCCTCACGCGGATGAACTCATTCGCGTTACATAAAAGGAACCGGCAAACACGCGCTGAGCCCTCCCTGCCTAGCCTCTCTCATCTCCCGAAGCGTTGGCCCCGCAATCCCGCCGCTAGAGAGAGTGAGCGATTAGTGGTGTGTCGGGCGAAAACACCAGGTTTTCGGCGCTTTGCGCCTCTTCCCGAATAATACACTTCGGGTGTAAATAGCAAGTTTGGTGAGGCAGATATAGCCGATGTAGACTACTGTTTATTGAAACGGTCGAATTTGCCAGAGGCGTTATTGTTCCTGTATTTCGGGGTATCAGGTTGAGAAGAGTCCTTTTGGGATGGTCACTTTATCGGAGAGTTCACGTGCAGGAGAAGGCTCGCTGGACAGCGTGGAATAGCAGATTTATACAACAGCAGTACGTGAACTCAGAGAGGGATAGCAAGGATTGGCCAGATTGGGAGGCCAAGAAGTTGCGTTCT